CTGGATCCTGTGGTGCTGGAGATATAGGCCATTGTAAGCACCAGCTGTAAGTTCTGGGAACTGAATTCAGGCCTTCTGACAAATGCTTCTAACCACGGAGACATCCCACCACCACCACTCCTGCGCCCTTCATGATGAGTGTTTAAAAGCATGGCTCTTTGGTTAGCCTTTTAATGACCTACCACTATTTGGCAGAATACATTAATCAGTTTTTGGTGGATCATCCGGCTAGTTGTTACTAAAAACATATTAAGTTCCCATTTCTGGCCCTAGGGATGTAGAATCCTTAGAATCTTCCATTGGATGGGACAGCATCAGAGGGCAGAGAGAACTGATATTTATGTCTGCTTGTTGTGAAGTTGATAATAGACCCTATCCATAAAAATTTCATTTTTACTAATACATTAAAATTTTCAGTTATAAAACCTAAAACTAAATGCCAGTCATTCTAGCAGACACCTTTAATCACAGCACTCAGGAGCCAGAGGCAGGTGGATTGCCATGAGTTTTGAGGCCAGCAGGGTCTACAGAGGGAGTTTCAGGACAGCCAGGGCTATATAGAGAAACCCTTTCTTGAAAAATCAAAACAAAAACAAACAAAAACAAAAAGTAAATTCAACCGGACTTTTATATCTAATATTAGTGATTGGCAAGTTACAAGTTAAGACTATTCAATAACTTTTTTTTTTCAAGACAGTGTTTCTCTGTGTAACAGTACTGGCTGTCCTGGAACTTGCTCTGTTGACCAGGTTAGCTTCAAACTCACAGAGATCTTCCTGCCTCTGCCACCTAAGTACTGGAATTAAAGGCGTGCACCACCACTGCTCGGCTGATTATTTGATAACTTATGACCCCCAAATGCATAGAGGTTAGTTAAGCTTTTTGAATTCTGTATTTGTTGGGGGCAGAGAAAAATTGATCACTATGGTCTGAATGTTTAAGTTTCCCTCTAAATTCCTATGTTGGACCCTAATCACCAGTGATTGGCTAATAGGTGTGACTAATGGTTATGAAAATAGTTACGGCATATACATGACCTGTATGGATGATGTTAGAGTCTCTTAAAAGCAGAAGGCTGTAGAGATGGTTCTGACTGCTCTTCCAGGGGACCAGAATGAGATTTTCACCACCCACATAGCTCATACATCTGTAACACCAGCCTATGGGCTTCCAGCACTTTCTGGCTTCCTTAGGCATGGCACCCAGGCAAAAAACCCATACACAGAAAATATAAAGGCTAAAAAAATGTCTAAGGGGGCTATGAACCAGGTGGTGGGGCAAGCCTGTAATCCTAGACTTAGAGGAGGATCAAGAGTTCAAGGCCATCCTCAGCTACTTGGTGAGTTTGAAGACAGCCTGAGTTCCAGGAAACCCTGTCTCAAGAAGCCAAGACAGCTGCCTTGACTCTTACACCAAGTGATGGATCATATAGGAGCCACCTCTGAACCAGGAGTTAAGACTTCACCAGAACACTTATCTGCTGGCACCGTGGCCTCTCACTTTCCTTCCTCCAAAACTGTGAAAGAGGAGCTACACACTCTACAGAACTTGTTGCAACAGCCGGAAGGACAAACACCAGTGATGAGCCAAGACTTAAAAAAAAAAAAAAAGATTCAGTCTCTGCATCATTATCAAACCAGATGTTTTCATTGTAAAATACACAAAACAGAAAATTCACCATCATAACCATTTTCACACCGTGTAGTAGTAAATACCTTCATATTGTGACTCACTACTATCCATGTCCAGAACTTTTCCTATCAGCCAGCCTGTGTAGACTCTGCCATCAAACACTTTGCCATTCCCCCACCCAACAGCCCCGCCACACTCATTGTTTAATTCCCATGGATTTGACTGTACTAAGCCTCATAGAAATGGAATCATTGGTCCTTTCTGACTAGCTTATATCATTTAGCATCATATCTTTAAACTTCACATCAGAGCATGTATTAGGATTCCATTCTTTCTTGTGGCTGGATAATATCCCGTCTATATTTTGAGCATTGTGGATAATAATGTTTATGAATCTGGAGGTACAAATATCTGAGAAGCTGCTTTGAATTCTTTTGGGCATATATCCTGAAATGGAATTGCTAGATCATACAATTCTATTTAATATTTTCAAGGAAATGCAATAGAATTTCCTATTTTGCTGTTTTCCACATCAACTGTGCAAAAGGCTACCTTTTTTTTTTTTTGAGTCTTTGCCATCTTGTTATTTTGGTTTTTACAAGTTTTTTTTATTTATTTATTATGTATACAGTATTCTGCCTGCATGCCAGAAGACGGCACCAGATCTCATTATAGATGGTCATAAAGCCATGTGTTGTGGGAATTGGAACTCAGGACCTCTGAAAGAGTAGCCAGTGTTCTTAACCACTGAGCCATCTCTCTAGCCCCCCAAAATATGTATTTTTTATAACTGTCCTAGTAGGGCTAAAACGTACTTTGACTGTTTTGTATGTTTGATGTGTGGGTACAGGAGTGTCACAGTGAAGTTGTTTTTGTATATCCAATGAGTGGGTACAGGAGTGTCACAGTGAAGATGCAGAGGTTAATGAGTAGCAGCCAGTTCTGTGGAATCTGGAAATTCAGGCTGTCAGGTTTGCTTTGGAAATATTTTTACCAACATAACCATCTTCTTGCCCCTGGATGTTTTATTGTATAGGATCTACTTTTGATCGTCCGAAAAGCATGTCTACCCACCACGTGCAGCTTCCTAAGGCTTCACTGATTTCGACTTGCATCCCTTTAATGCATAGTGTCTATGTAACTACTTTTTTATTGCTGTGACAAAACACCATGACCAAGGCAGCTTATCAAATGAAGCGTTTAATTAGGTTTCCAGTTTCAGGGGGTTTGGAGTGCATGATGGCTGGGCAGAGGCACAGCTAGAGTAGCTGAGAGCTCTTTCAGGATCCAAGATGCAAAGAGGCACACTGGGAAATAGCCCAAGTCAAAAGAGACCTCAAAGCTCACCCCGAGGGCCACACCTCCAACAAGGTCATACCTCCTAAGCCTCCCCAAATAGTTGTGGCAACAGGGGACTTAAGTATTCAAATATGAGCCCATAGAAGCCTTTCTCACTAAGCCATCACACTTAGTGAAGTCCCCATGTTCTCCTTCCTGTGCTGTTGGCTATTTATATTTCCTTTGGAGAAACGGCTGCTCAAATACTTGCGTCTACCCTGTAAATCAGTGCCAAAGTATCTTCATGAAATAAAATTAAGTGAAATCCTTTCTTTTAGTCAACAAAATGGGAAAAGTGTTTCTCTTTTTTAGTCATCAGGACCAAGAAAATATGAAAATTCATTGTTCAAAATAAGAGTTCTTTCTTGAGTGTGATGGCTCTGATTGTGACCACACACACATATTTGCCTAGAAACACCTAGGGAATTATCAGAGCTTGCATCTGGGTGTGCCTGTGAGGGTGTGTCTGTGAGGTGTGTCCAGAGACATCAGGTGGGCTCAGATCTCATCAATGGCCTGATGCTTGGTGGATTCATATGTTGCCATTATTAGCAGGCTCTGAAAGAGAGGAGGTGGGGCCTAGGTGGATGGCGGTCACAACAGTCTCTAGAGTTAGACCTTGCCCTAGGCTCTTCCTGTAGGGCAGATTCTTGAGCTGTACAATTACAGGAACTGCTCCATGGTGCCATGGAGGACAGAAGCCTCTCAAAATGTGAGTCAAACACCTCTTTCTTCGTTGTGTTAGGTATGTTAAGTCGGGGTTTGTTTTTTTGTAGTTGCATATAAGTGCTCTCTGAGAGCATGACAAGCTGCTACAAAGTTAGAGGTATAAAAACAACTCAGATTTCTTTGGATTAGGGTTGTGGAGGTCAGAAGTCTAAAATCAAGGCAGATTTGAGTTCTTTCAGGATAGAAACCATTTCTTCCTTCTCTTTGGCTTTCCAGAGCTGTGTGCATTCCTTGGCTCACTGACTCCTCCCCACATCACACAACTCCTTTATGGCACAAATCCTATAACAGAATGGAAGTTCAACAACAAGAAATCAAGGCACTCAATGTCTATAGAGAACATTTTTAGATTGCATAGCGTGCACCTCCATCATCAGTTGAAGGGCCTTACTTTTCCTTGGGGGGGGGGGAGCGGTTTTGAAACAGGGTTTCTTTGTACCTTTGGAACCTGTCCCGGAATTAGCTCTTGTAGATCAGGCTGGCCTCGAACTCATACAGAGATCTGCCTGCCTCTGCCTCCCAGTGCTGGGATTAAAGGCATGCGCCACTATTGCCAGACTCCAGTCTTAGGTTGTCTGCCCCTGGTGCACATTAACTTTGCTTGAACTGCATTATTTTTTTCTTTGACACTGGTCTCTCGATATAGCCCTGGCTGACCTGGAAGTCGCTAGGTAGTCCAGGCTGGCCTTGATTCCTTTTCCATTTCTCCTGAGATTAAAGGCATGTGCCACCACGACTGGTATGTGTGAACAGAGCTTTGCTGAAATAAAATACCACAAAGACACAGTCGCCCTCTACTTTTATTATTGTAGTCTTGTTACAGAAGTACAAGATTACAGCGATTCTTTGTAGGAAATCGTCCGGATGTCTAGACCTACCGCTACGTCGTGGGTAAGCGAACCGATGATGCCCTGGACAGACGGGAAGCCTTGGTTGGCTTCTTCCCGCACGCGTGCCAGTACTCGCGAGGCCCCGCCGAGAAGCTGTCGCTCCTGCTGCGAGGGCCTGATCTCTGTGACGAGGTCTCCGGGATCTACCGACGCCTGGAGCGAAGCCGGGATCCTCTTCAGCAGAGACTCGGCTCCCCGACCTCCCCGCCTTTCCTCTTCCGCTCATTCGGTCCCCGGAAGCTCCCGCCGGCGCTCACGCACGCGCGCACTTCGGTTAGGCTCCGAGGAGGGCGAACGGTGGAGGCGTGGCTGCGCGTGCGCAGGGCAAGTGAGGACCGGAACGCCCGACTCGGCGCGAGAGTCTGTAGCGGTCGCAGTTCCCAGGTGAGCGGCTCGCGGGCTTCCGTATCCGGTCGGTCCGCAGCGGGCGGGCCACCGTCCCTTCCCAGCGATCGGGGTCCGTTTCCCCGGTTCGGAGCCCGACCTGACGGAGCCGAGCACCCGGGGTGGGTACCACCGCACCTCCGCGGGAGGTCGCAGGCCGTCCTCAGCACTCGGCACCGCCACCCAGGCCTCGCCAGCCCCGCGGGCGGCGTGGTAACCGCTACAGGAACGGCGGGCGGGGGCACCAGCCCTCCTCCCGTGGAAACGGTAGCCCGGCCCGCCGGACGCGGGAGGTGGCGTGGAGGCGGGGTCCGAGCCCCCCTCAGCTGTGGCCACTGCTGCCCCTCTGTGGGTTCTTGAACCCGAACCCACAGACTTTTGGCTTCTACGTCTCAGAGTCTGGAGAGGGTACTTAATGGGGTCGTGGACAAAGCCTCAAATTCCTGAAAAACAGGTGTACAGTTTGGGACAAGATTTTTGCAAACCCAAATTGGGGCCCTGTAATATATATCTCAACAGATGAGGACTATCACAAATGTGCAAAATGACATCTTTTAATTCCAGGTTATTTATGTATTCTTTCTGGTGTATCGTGGAAGCACTTTTTTTTTTTTTTTTTTTTTTGCTTTTTGAGACAGGATTTCTCTGCACAACAGCCCTAGCTGTTCTGGAGCTAGCTCTGTTGACTAGTCTGGTCTCTAACTCACAGATCCAGTGAAAGCATTATTTCTATTTCTAGCTCTGTGTGAGTCAGTGTTCAAGAAACTTCCAGGTAGTTTTGACAGAAGCCTGTATGGATTCACCAGAGGGTTATAATGGTCTGACGAACTGGTGTGTTGTAAGATAATCTTAACTGTCCTGTAAGACCATCATTGTAAACTGAAGTGCAGCAACTTTGATGTAAATTTTAACAGAAGAACTGCTAACGGGTGAGACTGTCATATAAGTTTTCCTGGAAGTTAAGTCAAGTCACTGGCTGCTCTTAACAGAAACGCAGTGTAAACACCACCTCAGAAATATCATGTGCACTAGGAAGTGGGCCACCTCTTAACAAGAAAATTATCAAGTAAGCTAAAAGGCTGGTAGTTTGATTTGCTTTGCATAGGAAGCAAGGAGCAAGAACCTGGGCTGAGTCTTAAGTCTCTAGACTCCTTTGTGGGATAGACATTCTCTAAATGTTTGCCTAATTTTTGTAGATCTTTTTTAGACTTTGGGAATGTAAAGGTGAACAAGACATCAGGAACTCCTGGTCTGGTAAGAACGGTACCACCTCCTCCTCACCCCATCCCCTCTTCTTTACATGTTTCAGGGGCCATTGGTCTCTAGCGCCAGAGCTCAAGTAATCTCTTAATTCAGCCTCGCTGGTAGTTGGCATGATAAGGAGACTACCGTAGGCAAAGTTTTTGACAAATCTTTTGTTATCTTCTCGTTCTGCTGTTGGGCCCTGGAAATTAATGGAAAAGCCAGCTTGTGTGTAGAGGCCCAAAGGACAACTTCAGGTGCTGTTCACACAGAGGAATTTTAGAGCAGAACCTAAGTAGCATGATTTCTCATTGATCTTAATAAGAAAAACCCAGAGTCAGATATCGGGGTAAATGCTGAAAGATCAGAGAAGAAGCCAGCCACTAGAGTTCTTACCTCCACAGAATCCTCAGAACCAAAGAGGCAAATCCTGTCTCCAGATGTCCAGAACCAAAGAGGCAAATCCTGTCTCTACAGATGTTCAGAACCAAAGAGGCAATTCCTGTCTCTACAGATGTTCAGACTGAATGAAATACACTTCCTCTCCTGCTTTCTATTGCTCTCCGCCCAGCCACATCCCTTCCTGTCCACCTTCCCAGCACTGCCTGGATAAAGGTGTGTGCCACTGCCTGGCCTCTATAGATAACTAGTGGCTAGCTCTGCACTCTGATCTTCGGGCAAGCTTTATTTGTTAGATTACAAACAAAACCACCACAACCACACCATCGCATGATGAAACTGAAGAGGAGGGGCCCAAGGTTATTAAAAAAACAGCCTTAGTTTATCCAGTTACTATACAAGAAGGACCACCAGATGATAGCCATTCTCAAGGCTATGCAGAAGTTTCCTATGAAGGAAACCTATCATCTCTCCCTGTACCTCTCTATTTACCCTCCAAAATCTCTATGGTAATTCTAGTCAGCCAGTTGTGGACTCCGCCCATGATTCAAGGTTTAACTTTATTAGCAGTTTTGGATTGTCAGTGCGAACAAATATCCCATAACAAAGCTTTAAGCCTGGCATGCCTGACTCAGTTTATCCTTTTTCACACACTAAGCATATTTCCTCTTATTATTGTACCTACACTGTAGTCATTATAGCAGTGGGAAATGTTAAAAATCCAGTGGAATCTCTTCTAGCAGGTCAACTTATGATTTGTCTCCTCAACTTCGTATTTAAAATATGTACATGTTATTCTTCCAGTACAGGTAACTATGTATTTTTTCATTTATATATACTAACTACAGGTAACTATATATGTAATATATATATATATATATATATATATATATATATACACACACTACCAGTTCCACAAACTTTGCAAGTAAATTACGTAGTAAATGTTGAAGTTGTAATGGGAAAGCTGTCTGAGGCAGTACATAAACCCATGAATAGAACTGTGTTCCAGTAAAACCATCTGCATAAATATAATAAGCCAGAGTTGGTCCTGAGTAGTAGTTTGCTGGCCTGGGATCTAAATAGTTCATGAAATAATAATTTTGCCATATGCAGTTTTTAGTGTGTTACAAGTAATTCTGTGATTACACCCATTTCTACTTTTTATGTTTTTATCTTTATAAGCGTCTGCAAATGAAGTTGTGATTCAAAGAGTTTATGGCTCATTTATGTCTCTGAACAAATTGTCAAATGTCTTTTTAGAACCTTTTCAGGTGCTAGAGAGATGGCTCAGTGGTTAACAGCCTGCACTGTTCTTCCAGAAGCCCCACATGGTGCATCTCACAGCAGCCTGTAACTCTAGTTATAGGTCGATACACTCTGACACACCCTATGGGACTTCACAGGTACTGCACTCAGGTATACACGTGTGCATATACAGACACATGCACAAGCACACACACCATGTTCTGCTGTTTGTATGGCTAGTCCTGGGTGTCTCTGTGCCTTATACAAAGACTCTAGACAACAACTCTGTACCTCAGGTCATAGACATCATATTTGTAGTAAAGAAAACATTAAATCTCTAATCTTAAATATCAAGTCATTGAAATTTATTTAAAATACTTGGTGGGACTTCACCTGACTTCTACTACAAGAACTACTATTCATAAAGTTAATTTAAAGCAGCAATAGATATTTCTGTACTGATAAGTTTAAATCTTTCTGAATAGAAAAGTCTCCATTCCTTTGCCCTTGATTCCATGCTTCCTTTGTTAAAGTGACCCTGGAATATTTACCTTGTTTCAGGAGGACAAGATGTGAGTGTCCTATTACTTAGGTTATAAAATATCAAAATTGCAAATTCCTGATGAAAAATATATCCAAAAAAGATAATGTATAGCTAAAGCATATAATCTACATTTGCTGAAATTTTTTGATAAGGGATAAAGGGGATTCGTACCTTTATCTTTTAAAAATCAAATTTTAATTTTATAAATTATTTGAGAACAGAGTTTGATGTCTATACAGATAAATAGATAGCTAAAACTGCCCTAGATATGTGAGGGGATTCTGCTGGGCATCAAGATTTCTGCCTCTAACCTTTACTTTCAGTCCTCCTCTGACAGTTTGAATTGTTAATTTCTAAAGAAGACATTAATCTATGCTCACATCTTGAAACTAGAGTCTTGAATTTTATCAACTATAAATTTTGTAGCATGATGCTTCTTAATGGTCTTCACTTCTGTTTGGATCTAGGTTTGTGCTAGACTTTTGCTGATTTGTACTTTTATTAATCTTTACTTAGGTTATAAAATATCAAAATTTCCTGGACATTATATGTGACATTTGTGAACCTGCTTATCACCATAATTTAACTTATATTTCATGTTTAAGTATTTCGAATACCTAACAAGTTACAGTTATAAATCTAGCCAAGGAAATAATTCTAAACACTTACACATTGCTTATAAAATTACAGATTTATGGGCTGGAGAGATGACTCAGTGGTTAAGAGCACTGATAGTTCTTCCAGAGGACCTGAGTTCAATTCCCAGCAACTACATGGTGGCTCACAACCATCTGTAATGAGATCTGGCGCCCTCTTCTGGCCTGCAGGCATACATGGAGGCAGAATGCTGTATATGTAAAAAATAAATAAATAAATAAAATCTTTTTAAAAAAGAAAAAAATGAAATATTTAAAAAATTACAGATTTAACAATCAGATTCCCTAAAGCATTTAAACATAGGTTACAGTCAACATTTTACAAGTCTAAGTAGGAAGTGTAGCTCAGTGGCAGAGAGCTTATCTAGCATGTCTAAGACCTCAGGTTTAATCCTCAACACTGCAAATTGTAAATAAGTAAATGAATTAAAATTTATGACTAGCTGGGCATGGTTGCACATGCCTTTAATCCCTTTTTCCTGAGGCTGAAGTAAACTAGTCTCTGAGTTTGGGACCAGCCTGGTCCACATAGCAAGTTCCAGACCAGGCAAGGCCACAGAGTGAGACTGTGCCTCAACAAAGCAAAAAAAACAAAATTTATTTCTAATATATAAGAAGATTTCTAAACAGGAGAAGTTACTCTTCTGATAAAATGTGTGAATACACATACTTACTTTGACATTGTTAATGATAGAAATTTTATTACTTCTTAAATTATTTTCATACTTTTTGTTGTTTCTCTGTGGCTGTCCTGGAACTCACTTTGTAGATCAGGCTGGCCTCGAACTCACAGAGATCCACCTGCCTCTGCCTCTCAAGTGTTTGGATTAAAGACATGCACCACATGCGCCACTACCTGGTTTCCATTCTTTATTTCGTGTCTTTCCTTGGGCTGTAGGGCCACGCAATAGTAAATATAATTTATTCAGTGTGTCCTGGCTTCTGTAGATACACATTACATAATCTTCTAGTGCCCAATTTACTGTGCTGGAATTAATTATAATTTAAATTTGTACCTGCTTGCCTGGTTGGCTCCTTATTAATAATCGAAACGTTTGTATGTCTGTTTTTCAATATAACACTTATTTGTCCATTTTTAAATTTTATTGTGGGCTTAAGAGTTCCTGCTGAATTTTTCATGTATATATATATATATATTGAACTTGTACAGTGTCAGCCCTTTTAAATTTCGAGATGGTTGAACTGATCAATTTAATTGAGTTGATAAGTGCCTAGATTAGTTTTAAAAAATACCTCAGAATGTAATTGTGAGGGCATTCTGGAGGTGGTTGGCGGGGGGGGGGGGGGGGAGATCATGCATGTGGGTAGTAGCATCCCACTGGCTTAAAGGATTGACCCTGATGGAATGCGAGAGGGGAGAGCCTACAGCTGCAGCCTCTTTGCTTTCTCTCTACCATGAGATGTGCAGCTCTGCTTTGCATCCTCCCTTTTTGTGTTGGATCATGAACCAACCTTCCTTAAGCTACCTCGTGTTAAGTGTTCTTTCACAAGAGCAAACTAACTGTCTCCTTGGTTTCATTACCATTACTACAGGCTTATCTGATTATTATGCTAACAGTTCAAAGGCTACAGTAAGATGCTGATTCTTTGCTTCCAGTAATAACATCAGCTGCCAGGGACTCTTTGTCTTGTTATTTATGTGTGTATGTGACTGGATATTTTGATTGAAGGCATGTGTGTGCACCATGTGTATGCCTAGTGTCTGTGGAGGCCAGAAGAGGATATGGATCTCCCTGTACTAGAATTACAACCATCATGTGGGTGCTGAGAATCTGGGTCCTCTGAAAGCACTAATTCATTGAATTGACTCTCCAACTTCTTCCTTTTAGGTTTTTGCGGGGTTTGTTTTTAATGGAGGGTAGGATTGGAAACTGAAGACTAAACTAAGATTATCACTAATAACACGATACTGCTTTTAGGTCACCATGATAACAGAGTGAAGAAATACTTTGTAAAGACTATAGCTTTATAGTAATCTTTTCAGTTTAGTCTGATTGGGTTGGGGTAGTAAGATATTTTACCTGAACTCTTAAAATCATTGTTTATGTGCATAAACCTATACATCCAGTAATTTAAGTAACAGTGTCCTTACTCCATACAAACAATGTCTATTTAGAAGTTAATTTATTTCCTCTGATGTTGAATTTCATGTGTTTTTTGATCTTAGACAGATGACCAATAGCTGCAAAGTGTCTCATACCAGACCCCCTTTGATGCAGTGAGTCATGTATAGTCTGTGGTGATATTTCCTGCATTACATTATAGCTTGTGATCAAATACTCAGAAATTTATTTGGAAGCCACCTGTACAGCCTGTTTTTGTATCTTGGGGATTTCTCTTGCTCAATGAGAATGAGGGGGGGCTAGAGAATTTAATAGAAGTCACAGCTCTGTGTGCTTCGATTCAATATCTGCAGTAAGATAACAGAATAGGGTGATCAGCAAGTAGTAAAATGCTGAAGCTCACTGATTTATGTCACATTATTACCATCAGATTAATTGGTGATTGAAGTGGCTTAGCTGATGCTAATATCAACTATGATGATTAACCGTGATTAGCAGTGTGATTTGATTGAGAGATGCCTGGGAGAGATTAACAAAGCACACCTGAGTGTGTCTGTGAGGCCACGTTCAGGGACAGTTCAATCAGCAGGGCTTTTCCCTAACGATGGATTTGTTGGGTTGGTAGAAATTGAAGAATGGCGCCTGATGAGAGTAAGTAGATGACTGACTGGGGTGTCATGGAAGGGCCTGTCGTGTACCTTGGCTCTGCTTCTTGGCTGAGCTAAAATAAATAGTTCCTTGAGTTGTTTTGTTTTGGTGTTTTGTCCTAGTGACGAAATAAATGGCTAAAAGCCTGTCTTTCCTCATTTAAACTCTAATTTATACTGTGCAGAAGGGAGGTTTCATTTGGGCTAAGATACTGCTGTTTGTGATATGCCTTCCCCAATGATCTCTTGTTTTCTTGTGAGCTCTGAGACTATTGGTAAAATCCCAAGTACCCCATAATGACCTCACAAACTTCTTTTATTTTTAATAGTTCTCTTTCTCGATGGAGGCTTTTTGAGACAGGATGTCTTTGTGTAGCCTTGGCTGTCCTGTAACTGGGCTGGCCTTGAACTCACAGAGATCGGTCTGCCTCTGCCTCCTAAGTGCTGGAATTAAAGATGTGCACCACCACTGCCTAGCCGATAGTTCTCTTTTTGTACTGCCAACATTTCTCATTTTGGAAAATAAAAATAAAACATATTTAGAAATTACTCCGGTCTGATGGTTGAACGTTTCTTTTCAGATATACTTTTGACATCATGGATCGATATGGAGATATATCAGAAGGTGAAGTGGACCATTCTTTCTTTGACAGTGATTTTGAAGATGCAAAAAAGTGTGACAGTAATTTAGTTTTTGACAAGCAAAATGATAACCTTAAGGAAAGAATAGATAAGGACACCAAAAATGTAAACTTGAAATTTGAAATACAAGATGATGACCTTAAAGAGAGAATAGATAATGATACCGAAAATGTGAACTTGGAACTTGGAATCAAAACAAAGGAAAATTACCTTACTCAGAAAGGAAATGAAAGAAAAGCAAAAGTTTCCTCAAAGGAATACCATGTAGAAAATGATCCTACACAATCAAGAAGTTCCTCGTTGTCGACCGCTTCTTCAAGATCAAAAAAATCGTGTGATGATGCAAAAGGACATAAATTACACTTGTCTGTTGCAAATAGAATTCCTAAAATTGTAAAAGGTGAGGACGATTACTACACAGATGGAGAGGAAAGCAGTGATGATGGGAAAAAATTCCATGTGAGGGCCAAGTCAGCTAAGCCCTCCAACAACTTAAAAAAAAATGCAAATAAAAAGTATTCCAAAATCAGCTCCTCCTCTTCTTTGTCTTCCTCATCTTCAAGGTCAAGTTCAGACTGCTCAGACACAGGATCTGATACCCATAAATCTGATTCACGCTCATCATCAAGGAAACATGCTTCTGGTGTAACCCTCTCGTCACCAAAACAGAGGTGTAAATCAGGAAGAAAATCAGTGACTACACAGCCTGCAAGTGCTAAACCAAAAGCTGGTAACTACAATGAGGAATCAGAGGATGCTGTAACAGACGTAACTCCTTTGTCAACACCAGACATCAGCCCTATCCAGTCCTTTGAACAAGGCACGTCACGTGATCAGAAAGTAAAAGTTAAAAGGCAAGAAAATGTGAGCCGGGATGTGTATGAGGATGTGGAGGCTTTAAAACATGAGCCAAGACCTCTGAAATCAGCCAGAAGGAAAGAAAAGCAAGGGCAGAATTTTGCTCCAAAATCATCAGTGTTAGATGCAAATCTAGACCATAGATCCAAACAGAAAGTCTTACATGACACCATGGACCTTAATCATCTGCTGAAAGGTAATTTTTGAAATTCTGTATATTAAGCTTGAATATTAGAAACTAAACATATATATGCTATAAATGTGCATGGATTTTTGTAGTCAATGTCTTTGAGATGATTGACATTTTAATAACTTGCCAGATATATTCTATTATGTTATAAAAACACTTTGAATATTATTTGAATTGTCAGATAATTGCAAAGATAATCAATTAGGTCCAGAAATTTGGACTAGTTTTCAATTCCTCTCAAACTCAGAATGCTACCACTCTTCTGAGGCAGTTCTGTCTTTATTCTTGAGCTAGCAGTAAGCATCTGCCCTGGTTTACACCATTCACCTTCAGACATGGCGGTGTCCAGAGAAACACTTCCTCTAGCTCTCGGAGTGCAAGAATCTTTTAAAGAAGGATCTCCAGACAATGTGCACTTAGTTCTGTTTTCACAAATTGACTTAGTTACACTCTTCATTCCTGAACTAGTCATTGACCAGGGGAGAGATACCCAAAGCCAATCACACTCCTGCTGGAGTTAGGGCAGGCAACTGGAAGGCCCAAGGTCTGTGTTGGAGGAAGGTAGAAAGAGGTGCAAATTGGGGCAATTAGGTTTGTTCACTGCAGTTCCTCGGACTTCAGGGTGTGTATAGATCACCCTAGAATCTCATTCAAATGCATATGGTAAAAGTAGAACCCAGACAGCTAAACAATTAACCCTGCCAGTGCTGATTGCATTTCTGCTTCCTGGAGGATCAGAGTTCCTATCTGTTTTCTCCACGCATACTATGATGTGTGTGACAACAGAAACAGTGATAAACAAGAGCTGGAAAGATGGCTCAGTGATTAAGAGCACTTGCTGTTCTTGCCAGAGGACCTAGGTTTGGTTCCCAACACACCCATGATCATCTGTTCATAACCATCTCTATCTACAGTTCCAGGAGGTCCAACACCCTCTTCTGGCCTTGTTAGAAACTGCATATACGTGGTGCATGTACATACATTGTGGGCAAACACCCATACATACAAAAATAAAGAACCCTGAAAAAATAGATACAGCGTCCTTCTTACCATCTAAACTTATTCTAAAACTGAGCTGGATGCTAAGAATCTATATATACCTAGTTTTTAAGTAAGAACAATGATTACCATCCCCCAATTCCTGAGCACTTAGCATACTTACAGTTAAAATACCGTGGAAATTTTTCAGTACGAAATGTAGAAGCGAGATCCAGTTTTTCGCTGTATAGTGGCAAGCCCTGCTGTAAGAAACTTGCAGTAGCTCTTCTGGCCTTTTGTTGTGACAGGGTCTGTATAGCCTAGGCTGGCCATGAGCTTTTATGATCCTCCTACTTCTGAATTCTGAGGGCTGGAGTTAAAGTCTTGTAACAAAGGCAGAGGAACAAAGGGGACATTTTGCTAAGTAGAATATTTACTGGTGGACTCCATGAAAGTCTTTATAGTAAAACACTGCAAACTATTTTTCAGTTGTATAAACGGCATCTTTAGTTTTCCAAAATTATTATTCATGCTCAGTTTACAGCATGAAGCTTTTCAGATCCTCGAAACTTTTCTGTATTTTCCACCATGCACCTAAACCTTGGGCTTGATACAGTTGATCCCCACTTGTGCCTTTCTTTGTTCATCTTATACTCCATCACTTTCACGTTCCCCAGACGGGCTTTTCTAGGCTGCTTTGACTCATCTGTTTGTTCCATAGTGTTCACTGCTTGCAAGGTCAATCCCCTTAATGTAGGAAAGATGATCACGCCAATGCAGAACGTGTTTAAAATCTTCTAGTAGAACATGATCCTGACAGCAAACAGCTGAGACTGGAGTTCAGCACACTGTGTCCTCCCAATGTAAACATTTTCAAGAAAAGAACTTACCATTTCCTGTAATGAGTTTTGAGTAAAAAAATTTCACAAATTGCCATGTAGTAAACAGTGTAAAATAGTGGTTTGTAAGATTGTTGCTTACTGAATATAAATAGATATTAATAAAGATTAATAAAAGGGTATAAACAGATATCTCAGTGTAGTCAGTGGAATGGTGAAACAGTATTGAATTGGGCACTTAGTGAAGTAGATGAGACTCTGGGAGCTGAAGCACAAAGCTCTAGGCTTTGGTGTTATTGACATGTTCATGAACTAAACAGTAACTCTTTATAGGCTGTGGTACTTGATATAATTGCAAGAGTCCAGTCTAGACTGAGAGTTGTGGTGTTCACCAAAAACTAATAGATCAGTGTGGCCTGGTACTAGAAACATAATTTTAACACACCTTGAGAGATTAGTACAATTTCAGCTCTATAAGGAGGTTGACTTGAGGAAGTCCCATTCCTCACAATGTCCAAATACTGTGTTGGAATTAGATATTTAACCTTGGAATAGAAATCCTTGACTAAGCATTGAGGGACTTAGAAAATGGAGCAGTAAACACATTTTGATACAAGATTATATCATGAGTCTGATATGTTTGGTAAACATTTAAGGAGCTTAATGAACTGGATTAAATATACATTTCATACTTCATGTATATAAAATTGGATCACTTTTGAAGGACTCTGAAAGGGCAAAGTAAAAACATTTTAGAAATTTATAACTTTAAATTTTATCTCTACTTTTGAGAAGGAAATTATAAGAGGAAGAATTGAGACTGAAGAAGCATTGATAGTGAAGAAACCAGTTACAGTTTTTCTTTCACTAAGGTATCTGTGTGGGTATTATGGAGGGGATTAAGGGAAATGCTCTACAGACCCATTGCTGTCCATGAGAGAGGAGGCCTATTCTGATGCGATCAACTTCCAGCACGCCTTGCCTGGCAGTACAGTTTCATCTCTTTGTTATGGGCAGATTAGCATTGTGAAGACCTCAGACACCATTACCTCGTATTACCAAGCATTTGAGAAAAAGTGAAGGCAACAGAGGGCCTTCATCATTATGATAACTCTGTTACTGAGAATTGATTCATTTTTAAGCAAGGCTAATGTTTTTTTTTAAAGATTTATTTATTATGTATACAACATTCCTTCCATGTATGCTTGCATGCCAGAAGAGGGCACCAGATCTCATTATAAATGGCTGTGAGCCACCATGTGGTTGCTGGGAATTGAACTCAGGACCTCTGGAAGAACAGTCAGTGCTCTTAACCTCTGAGCCATCTCTCCAGGCCGGCTAATGATTTTTTAGAGATCTATGAGGACAAAGCTATTGTAACTAATAAAAGTAACCTTGCCTTGGCTTTATGCATTCTCTTTGAGGGGCTGCATGACAGTGACACGGTGCAGAAGCAGCAGGGAGAAACCAGCGTCTGTCGTAAGCTAGGCATTTAAAATGGATACAGCTGTTAAACTCTTCCACACACTTTTTTTTTAATGTATGTGTGTACCAGCATGTGTATGTGTAGGGGCACATGTGCCAGAGCATGTGTGTATAGGTCGGAGGACAATTTGTGGGAGTCGGTTCACTCCTTCTACTATGTGGGTCCAGTGGACCAAACCCAGTTTTGCAGGCTCAGCATCAAGGGCCTTTATCTTTTGTGCCATCTTACAGACCCTTTTATTTTTTAATAGAAATATTATGTTGACATTTAATTAGTGTATTGTTACTAACAGGAGAATGGGTAAATATCTTTAGTTTTGGTTTATTTTTTTTTTTGTTCTGTTGAGTTTTTACATATTAAATATTGGTAGATATTAACCCATGGAGGTATTTGGATGCCTCAACCTTTAGGATCCAAAACAAAAAAGTTTAAGAACTCCTAAAAAAAAAAAACTGGAACTAGAAATTATTACTGTAGTAGTCGTTATATTCTGAAGTTTGGAGAAAATCTTTGAGAAAATATTTTTAACTTACTCTTTTAAAAGAAAAAAATGGGGCTGTACTTAAAAACTGTAGGAAGGGAGGCTGAACAATATAAGTAAAAGATTGTAACTTAGAAGACATTGGGGTTGTGTTAAAAAATGAAACTAGGAATATTACTCAGTCTTGAAAAGGAAGCATTATCTGTTCTGCGCTGCAGTGTGGGGGAGGCTGGAACAAGCGAAAGCTTAGGTGAACCGCTGCAGTCTGGCAGCTCTCTAAAGCTCTCGCTGAGCCAGGCCTGAGCTCCAGATCTCCCAGCCATTTAGAAAGGCAGGCATGGTGCTCTGTAGCCCGGGGGGGGGGGGGGGGGGGGGGGGGGGGGGGGGGGACCAAGAGGTGCCCTGGGGCTCACTGGCCAGCCAGCCTACCCTAAATCAATGAGCTCCAGGCCTCAGCGAGAGAGCCTGTCCCAAAAACCCACTGTGGGCAGCTCCTAATAAATGAGCCCGCAGGCTGACCCTTTGCCTACACATGCACATGAACACACACCCCTGCAGATGCATGAGCACATACATACCCACACAGACAATTCTTGTGATTCCTTTTAGCCTAGTCAACATCATGGAGACAGAATTGTCATTTCCAGGGTCTAGACAAAGGGGACAAAGACTGAGGGTTGGTTTTTTTTTTTTTACTTTTTATGATTATAAGTTCTAGTTTTCTAACATACAGCATTATAGAGAATGAGTTGTACTATCACTGAACAAAGAGTACATCTAAATATAACCTGATAAATTCTGGACTTTTTCTGTTTTGCTACAGTCAAAAAGGGAAAACACTAATTCTTTAGATACTGTCTGTTATGGTAACTGTAATACTCCATAAATACCAGTTATACTGGAAGAGAATAAATCAACAAAAATTCAACCCAAAAGGCATTTAATAGTAATAGGAAGAATGAAAAAAGAAGTTTGGAAGAGATGTCAGGTATGTCTCCTTTAAAAAGAGGAAATAGAAGCATCAGCCCTATTAGTATAAAAATAGATTTCAAGTTGTGAAAGGTGCTAAAGGGGACGGGGGGGGGTATTTATATTAATACTTAAGCCATGTACACTAAGAGTACATATTACTAATATTGATATAGTAATATGTACATATGATACTAGCAAATTATATATATATATATATATATATATATATATATCAAAACGGAACTGGACA